AAAAAAAAAAAGAGTTCTCAAGTCGTTTCAAGTAACTGTGGTGTCCCGCCTTCGATGTCCCTAAAGAGGGCATCAGTTTCATCTTATAAAATAGCCACTGTTTGCCCTGAACGATTTTCTTTCAGTTCGAATTCAAAATCTGCCAATGACAGACAGTCAACACAAATAAACGACCTTTTGATCCCATCCTCTGGAATTATCGCAAACCCTAAAAGAGCACTTCTTGGTGAGCACAGAACCTAGACTGCAAGGTCCGGCAGGCAGAGAAAACAGTGACTGATTAAACCCTGGCCTCCCCTTCTCACACCTCATTACGCCGTCCCCTCTCGAGGGTTTGCACCCCTGCACAGGAAGCCGGCACGTTTTGCAAAGGAAATACCAGAGCAGACCTTTCTTGGAGAAAGGCACGTCCCTGTTGAACATTTGATTGGGCTTCCTGCACCCAGGCAGTCCGGCATGCAGGATCTCCCCGGCCAGGGCCCAGGCGCCCGCCGCCTCACCTGGGGCGGGCTGCGCGGGGACACCCCGAGAGCCGGCCACCCGCGCAAGAGGAAACGCACCTTCGCTACACCCTGGAGCAAAGTGCGAGCGCGGGACAGAACAAAACCTGCCTCGGCTTACTCATCGGAGACGCGGCGGGGGGAGAGGGTGTGACTTGGGGCGACTCCCAGCGAGTCTCGCCCTCTCGGGCTCAGGGCACAGCAGCCCAGTGCGCGCGCTGCGGGCTCCGGGGGCACTCACCTCGGGGAAGAAGTTATCCATTGTTCCGGCGCAGTCCCCAACTCGCCGCGTCCGGCTCCCAGCTCGCGGAAGTCAGCGTAGCAGCAGGTCCGGGGACAGCATGCGTGTCACGGCGCTGCTCCCGGGAGCTCGAGCCCGCGGGGCTCCCCCGCTGCCATGGCCTGATCCCTTCTCGTCTTGCTCACCTTTTGTTTGCCCGAACCCAAGTCTCTAACTCATCCGTCCCACCGGCAGCCTTTGTCTCTTCTTCCTCCAAGTTGCTCACTCCTGGGCGAAGCGCTCGCGAGCGGAGAACAGCTGGTGGCACATTCCTCCCCCGGACTGGGGGAGGGCGGCGGGGGGCTTGAGAGCGCGCCCCCTCCCTTTGCGCTCCGGCCGGGGGNAATCCCGCGCGTTCCCCGTAGTCTCCCGGAGTCTCCCGCCTTCTCACCTGGACGCGGGCCGGAGACTTGACGCTTCCCTCCGGTAACAGACACTAAATAGTTACTTAGAGAGGGGAGGATGACTGAGGGGGTCCTTGGTGCCTTTTATGTTTAGCAGACCCTGGAACCGGCTCAACACGGATCTCATTAATGCAGCTCGGCCGAGGGGCGATCCCGGGGAAGGAAGCGCGCGGTCGGCGGAGCTGCAGGGCTGCGGGGCCAGATCAAAGCGGAAATCGGAGGCTAATCAGAAGTTCTGGAAGCTGCCTTCTCGTCTTGAGTTTCTCTCCTGCAGTCATGTTGAAAGACGTTTTCATAACAGTGGGGGAAATGTGGTTTTGTGAACTGGAAGGGGACGTGGCCCATAGCACCTTTAACGACGTATCCCTTCCTGGACCGAGGGGAAGCAGAGGTGGGCGGTTGGAAGTGAGGCGGATGAATGACCAAAGATCAGACCCAGCGGGTACTGAGTCCCGATTTCCTTAGGGCAGTTCTGCAGACTTGACCGTGCACGGGAATCACCTGGGGATCTTGTTCAAAGGCAGACGGATTCCGTAGGGTGGACCTTGAGAACCTGCTTTTCTAACAGGCTTCCAGGTGCCCCTCGAAGCCTGCCATAGTGCTGAACTACAGCCTGTCTGTAACAAGTGAGAAATTAAGATTAAAGGCTTAGAAACTGTTGTGGCAATTTTAACAATGCCACTACCCCCAAGCACGTGATCAGTGGACTCTTTGAACCGAGTATAAACCAGTTTGGGTGTTGTCAGGCTCACGTGGTGAGTCACACCTGGCACGCAGCATATTGGTACCTGGCAGATTGGGAACAAAAATGACTCGTTCTTTACCACAAATAGTTTGAGAAGCTCTCTCTAGGAGATTTGCCGACTGCTACTCAGCCTTTGTAACTCTTTTCAGAAAGTCACATCTTCCAGGGGAAGCCTTCCCACAAATGCCACTCCACTCACCCCACCCCAGCTCCACCAAAGCACTGGATCATAT